TGACTGTCTCCTCCTCCCTCTCTTGCTGCTTCTGTTGGTGTTGTTTTTGTTGTTGTATAAACTTCATTATATCTCTCTCCCTTCCTTTTGCTGTTGGTGTTGTTATTATTGTTGTTCTTGTTGTATGTCTTCATTATCTCTCTCTCTCCCTTACTTTTGATGTTGGTGTTGTTGTTGTTGTTATTGTTGTTATTGTTGTTGTTGTTGTTTTGGTATGACTTAAATTTATCTCCGACCCTTCATGTTGTTGTCATTATTGTTGTTAAACTTAACAATCTTCCCTTCCCTTATTGTTATTATTATTGTCTTTAACGTAACTATCTCCCCTCCCTCACAGTTAATATTTTTGTTGCCGTTGCCCAACTGACTCTCTCTCTCTCTCTCTTTCTCCCCTCCTCCTGCCTCCCCCCCTCCCCCTTCCCATAGCGCTCGAGGTGGACGTGGCGAGTCTGACGGCGGAGGCGAACAAGGCCAAGCAGGACGAGTTCGAGGCGCAGGAGGAGCTCCTCGACGTCCGGAGGCAGCTGGACGAAGCGGGCCAGCAGATGCAGCACATGCAGGTGCGTCGGGTGAGGGGGGAAGGGAGGGAGAGGGGAGGGAGAGGGGAGGGGGAAGCAGGGGAGGTGGGGAAGGAGGGGGAGAGGGGAGGGGGAAGGAGGGGAGGTGGTGAAGAAGGGGAAGAGGGACGGGTGGGAGAGGGGGAGGGGGATGGGTAGGGGGGAGAGGATGGGTAGGGGAGGGGGATAGAGGGGGAGGTGGGGAAAAGAGGAGGGAGGGAGGATGTGAGAAGGAGAGGAAGGGGATAGGAGAAAGAAAGAGGGGGGGGGAGGGAAGGAGGATGAGAAGGGAAGAGGCAGAAAGTATGGGGAAAGAGAAAGAGTAAGAGGTTGTAAGAAGAGGAGGAGAAAGGAGAAAGAATGTGAGGAGGAGGAGATGGGAAAATGGAAGGAGGGGGATGGGAGAATCAATCAGAACCAGATCAAAATTGAATAATTTATTTTGCCGAAAATGACTAAGTACAAAAATCCTAACATCACATTGAGCCTTGCCGGAGGTGGGGTGAGGAGGAGGGGGAGGGAGAGGAGGGAGATAGAAGAGAAGAAAGAAAAAGGAGAGAGAGAGAGAGAAAGGAGAAGTAAGAAAGGGGAAAGAGGGAGGAGAAGAAAGGGGAGAGGAAAGGATGGAAGGAGGGAAGAAGCAAGAAAAGGGAGGGAAAAGAGGAGAAGAAGAGGGACATAGAAGGGAAAAGGAAGAAAAGGGAATCAGAGTAAAGAGAAAAGGGAAGGAATGAGGAAGGGAGGGAATAGGAAGAGATGGAGATAGGGGATGGTGCAGGAAGGGAAGAGGGGGAGAAGGAGAGAAGGGGAGAGGGGGAGAAGAGAAGGTGGGGAGGAAGAGGGGGAGAGGTGAAAGGGGAGGGGAAAGAAAGGTGAGTAAAGGAGAGGGGAAGAGAAGGGAAATATAAGGTGTGTGTGTGTGTGACTGTATGTATATGTGTGTATTTGTGTGTGTGTGTGCGTGTGTATGTGTGTGTGTGTGTGTGTGTGTGTGTGTGTGTGTGTGTGTGTGTGTGTGTGTGTGTGTGGGTGTGTGTGTGTACATTTTTATATATTCATATATATAAACATATTAATTTGTACACAAAGATTAAAAGGAAACACAGCCACAATAAGAAATTAATTTGAATTGTCTGCGCATGCATATATACACACTGTGTCTGTGTGTAAAATACATTGCAAAATTGTAATTGTTTTTATATACATGATTATGTTGTGTCTCACTGTTTCTTGCATTGCTTTCTATTGTTGATAAAGTTACTTATCAAATGCCTGTTCTAATCCATTATTACTAATTACTGAAATGAAGCGAAGAGAGTTCAGCTTATTGTGACTTGCGTTTTTACCCTCCTAATAGTAGGAAAATAATCCTGATAATAAGTTGGATATATAAGGACAAATCCTTCTATTTGCCAGCTGTCATATGACATTTCAGTCATGTATTAGTGACTTTTCTAATTATTTCTTCAGTTTAACAATTTTCTTTAGTCATTATATTTCGCCCCTCAGAGATCCCGCCGCTTTGACTCGGTTATAAAACTTTAATTGCTGGAAATTCACTTGTGCTTCATATCCAACTGCCAGAGTATAATTCTCTCTCTCTCTCTCTCTCTCTCTCTCTCTCTCTCTCTCTCTCTCTCTCTCTCTCTCTCTCTCTCTCTCTCTCTCTCTCTCTCTCTCTCTCTCTCTCCATGTATATGTATGTCCGTATGTATGTATGCATCTATCTATCTATCTATCTATCGTTCTATATATCGTTATATCTATCTATCTATCTATCTCTCTACCTACCTACCTACCTACCTACCTACCAAACTGGCCAAGCTCTCTACCTCGTCGCGTCCTCCCGCAGAGCCGCCTGACGGAGCTGGAGGCGGTGGAGCGCCGGATGGGCCGCGTGTCCGTGCTGGTGCTGGACGAGGTGGAGGCGCTTCAGGCCCAGCTGCAGACGGAGGCGGAGAGGGCGAAGAAGGCGGCGACGGAGGCGGCGAAGGTAAATGGGGAAAGGGGGAGTAGGGAGAGGGGGAGGGGAAGGGGGGATGGGAGGAGGAGAGAGGGGAGGGGGATGGGAAAGGGGAGGGGGAAGGGGGAAGGAGGGATGGGAGAGGGGAAGGGGAGAGGGGGAAGGGGAGAGGGGAAGGGGGAATGGGGGAGGGGAAAGGGGAGAGGGGAAGAGGGGGAGGGAGAAAGAGGGAGGGGAAGGGGAAAGGGAAAGGGGAAAGGGAAGGAGAATAGTTGTGGAAAATGGATGATTGTGATGATGATGGGTGAAGGTGGGGATTGTTGTAAAGAGTGATAGTGATGTCGATGGTGATTTGATTATGATGATAGTGACGATAGTGATAGTCTTGCAAAGGTTGTGGTGATGATGGTAATAATTGTAGTTATGGCCAAAGTTATAATGATAATGGTGGTGATGGTAATGAAAATAAAAGCATAGGAGAAGTTTATGATTACCATAATTCTAGAAAGAAAATGAATAACCTTTTTCCTTTCTCTCTCTCTCTCTCTCTCTCTCTCTCTCTCTCTCTCTCTCTCTCTCTCTCTCTCTCTCTCTCTCTCTCTCTCTCTCTCTCTCTCTCTCTCTCTGTCTCTCTCTCTCTCTCTCTCTCTCTCTCTCTCTCTCTCTCTCTCTCTCTCTCTCTCTCTCTCTCTCTTTCTCTGCTCCTTACCACACTCTTCCCCTTCCTCTTTCCCCTTCCTTTTATCCCCCCTTCCTTCTCTGTCCTCTTTCCCCATTGTTTCCCTTCCTCTCTCCCTCCCTCTCCCCCGTTCTCTCCTCTTTACCCCTTCACTCCCCTTCTCCTCGTCCGCTTCCTTCCTTCTCTTTCTCTCTCTCTCTCTTTCTCCCTCCCTCCTTCCCCCTCGTCCTCTTTTCCTTTCATCTCCCCTCTCCCTCTCCTCCTTCCTTCCCTTCCTCCCTCCCTCTCCCTCCCTCCCTCCCTCCCTCCCTCCCTCCCTCCCTCCCTCCCTCCCTCCCTCCCTCCACCCCCTTCCTCCTTCCCTCCCTCTCCCTCCCTCCCTCCCTCCCTCCATCCCCTTTCTCCTTCCCTCCCCTATTCCCTCTCCCTCCCTCCCTCCCTCCACCCCCTTTCTCCTTCCCTCCCCTATCCCCTCTCCCTTCCTCCCTCCCTCCCTCTCCCTTTCTCCTTCCCTCCCTTCCTCTCCCTCCCTCTCCCTTCCCTCCCTTCTCCCCTCTCCCCTTCCTCCACCCCCTTTCTCCTTCCCTCCCCTATCCCCTCTCCCTTCCTCCCTCCCTCCCTCTCCCTTTCTCCTTCCCTCCCTTCCTCTCCCTCCCTCTCCCTTCCCTCCCTTCTCCCCTCTCCCCTTCCTCCACCCCCAGGCCCGTAGCGAGCAGGCGGCGCTGGCGAGGCAGAGCGCCGTAGCTCTTGCCGACGTGATGGGCGACGAGCGACTGAGGCTGGCGCTGGAGGAAGTGCACAGCGTCACTCAGCAACTGCACGCGCTCGACGAGGAACACAAGCAGACCATTCAGAAGCTGAAGGTTCGTGTTTTTAGGCTCTACGAAGCGAGGGGGAGATTTTGGTTCTATCTTTAATTGTTTTGGTGTGTATGTATATGTTTATTTGTTGTCGTTGTGCGTTTTGTTTAATTTTGTGATTTTTTTTTTTTTGGGGGGGGGTTGCTTGAATGCAATGGACACCACAAAAAATGGAAACGTAAAAAAAACCATAAATTCTGGATTCAGAAAAAAAACTCCATAAACCCGAATTTGTTTTAATAAATCTACATTAAACAAGCTAAGCAGATAATGAGGTTCAAGTGAGTTGGAAAATCAAATGCCCATTATATCTGTATACAAAAAAAAAAAAAAAAAAAGTTAAAATAAAATAGAAGATACCCCAAAATTGATAGATAACCTATAAAATACCCAAAAATTCTTCGATGAAGTAGAAATAAATAGACGAATAACGAAAAATCCATAAATAGGGTAATAAAAAAGAGAATGAGAAAAAAACATACCCAAAAGGCATTACACGGGGGGGGGGGGGAGCACACCCCAAAAGCCATCAGAGAAAGGAAAAATATCCCAATATTTATGAGATGAAGGAGATACTCCAAAAATCAACAAATGGGGGGGGGGGGGGATACATCAAGAGTCAGTAGATAGCGGGAAATACCCCAAAAGTAGATTGGGGGAGAATACCACAAGATGGGAAAAAAACACCCCCCCCCAAAAAAAAAAAAAAAAAATGCCCCCAAGAACCATTAGATGCAGAAAACAGAACAGAAATTAAAAAAAAAAAAAAACGTTGATGGGGGAAAAAAATTACAAGTTGCGGAAAAACCATACCCCCCCCCCCCCCCAAAAAAAAAAAAATAGGAGAAACGAGCCCAAAAAAATCGTTGTTGAGAAATATAGAAATCCAAATACGCAGACAAGAAAAATGGAACACAAGCATCTCAAAGATCGGTCTTTTA